TGGACTCATTTGAGTCCCGTTTTTGTTTTTAGGGTGAGTGGTTTTGTTTGTGTTTTTGGGTTGTTCTCCCGCCCTGGCGGGGGGTCGGGCTAGAAGATCTATTAGGTCCCTTCCGACCCTGAAACTATGAAACTAAAGGAGTCCAAAGTAGATGCTTGCACCACCTCCGGCGGCAGTCTGTTCCAGACCTTGGGAACTCGGACAGTAAAGAAGTTCTTCCTTATGTCCAGCCTGAAACGGTCATGGAGGAGTTTGTGACCATCGGACCTTGTCATCCCTTGGGGCGCTCTGATGAACAGGCGTTCCCCCAGATCCTGGTGCACACCACTTATATACTTATAGGCAGCCACCAGGTCCCCCCTGAGCCTGTGTTTTTCCAGACTAAAGAGTCCCATGGCTCTCAGCCTCTCATCATAGAGCCTGTTCTCCTGCCCTCTGATCATGCGCATGGCTCTCCTCTGCACTCTCTCAAGCTTCTCCATGCCCTTTTTTAATTGTGGAGCCCAGAATTGGATGCAGTACTCCAGCTGCGGCCTCACCAAGGCTGAGTACAGCAGGAGGATGACATCCTGGCATTTGCTTGAGAAGCATCTATGCATGCAAGCCAGAGTTTTGCTCACTTTACTAGCTGCAACATCACATTGGTGGCTCATATTCATCTTGTGGTCAATCATGACCCGCAAGTCCCTTTTGGCCGTGACGCTAGCAAGCGTAGCACTGCCAAGCCTATAAGCATGCTGCGGGTTTTTCTTCCCAAGGTGGAGTACTTTGCATTTTTCGGTGTTGAACACCATCAGGTTTTTGTCTGCCCATTTTCTGAGCCTGTCCAGGTCAGTCTGGATCACCCTCCTGTCCTCGGGTGCAGACGCTTTACCCCAAAGTTTGGTGTCATCAGTGAACTTGGCCAGTCCGCTTCTGATACCAATGTCCACATGGTTAATAAAGATGTTAAAGATTACAGGCCCAAAGACGGAGCCTTGAGGGACCCCACTGGTCACGATGAACCACAACAATTGACTTCAGTCAACTACCACTCTCTTGGTCTGACTTCAGAGCCAATTCCCCAGTCATTGGACTGTGATGTAGCCAATGCTGCATTTGGCCAGTTTTTCTATGAGATGATCATAGGATACCAGATCGAAGGCTTTTTTAAAAACAAGATATATAACGTCAATCTCTTCTCCCTTGTCCAGGTGATAGGTCACCTAGTCATAGAAGGAGATGAGATTGGTCAGGCAAGACTTACCCGCAACAAACCCGTGTGGCTACCCCTCAGGATGTTGCCATCAGCCAGTTATCAAGAATGGTCTCTTTGATAATTTTTTCCAGGATCTTCCCTGGGATAAAGGTCAGGCTGACGGGCCTGTAGTTCTTGATCTACTCTCCTCCCTTTCTTGAAGATAGGCACCACACTGGCCTTCTTCCAATCGTCGAGCACTTTACCTGAGCGCCAGGAGTTCTCAAAGATCCGTGCCAGGGGCTGAGCTATGATGCTTGCCAGCTCCTTCAGTACTCTGGGGTGTAAACTGCCTGGGTCAGCTGACTTGAAGGTGTCCAGCCTCTCAAGGTGTTCCTTCACATGGTCAACATTGATGAAGGGTAACAATTCTCCCTCACCCTGGCCGTCCCGTACCGTATTGAGCAGGGCCGTCCCCTGGGGCTGGTGAAAATCTGATGCAAAATACCCATTAAGCAGGTTGGCTTTTTCCTGGGTGTCAGTTGTCAGCTGTCCCATATGATTTAGCAGGGGTCCAATGTTGCCCTTGCTTTTCCTCCAGCTCCCCACATATCTAAAACAGGACTTTTTATTGTCTTTGATACGTGTAGCCTGTTGGAGTTCAGTTGCAGCCTTGGCTTTCCCAGTTCACTCCTTACAGGTCCAGACCAGTGCAGAGTATTCCTCCTTGGAGGTGGATCCCGTCCTCCATCCTTTGTAGGTCTTTCTTTTTAGACACAGGAGGTCCACTAGTTCTCTGCAGAGCCAAGGGGGCTGCTGTGCCCTTTTGCTGCCTTTCCTCCGAGACGGAATAGACATTGCTTGTGCTTCCAGGATCGCTCCCTTGAGGAGCAACCACTCGTCCTGAACTCCCATCGCCTTCGGATTGTGGTCCCTTAGGGCCATTCCAACAAGCCTCCTGAGCTTGTCAAAGTAAGCTTTCCTGATGTCAAGGACTTCTGCATTGCTGACCGACTTGCCAGCTTTACAACGGATGGTGAAGGTGATCAGCTCATGGTCACTGTCTCCCAGCTTCCCTTGGATCGTTAGGTCACTGATTAAGTCATCCCCTGTTGCCAGAACCAGGTCGAGCAGCACTTTGCCTCTTGTCAGTCCACAGACTTCTTGAGTCAGATAGAGTTCATCCCCACACAAGGAAGCTTTGCGACCGTTCAGATTTGGCCAAGTGCTCTTCCCACAAGATGTCAGGGTAGTTGGTCTCCCATGACAACCATGCACCGGGAGCGTGCAGCCTCAGCCAGGTCCTTGGCGAATTCCTGGTCGAGCTCTTGATCCTGGGTAGGAGGTCTGTAGCAGACTCCCACCACTATGTCTCCTGTGCCTTGTTCACCACAGATTTTAACCCAGAGAGTCTCTAGTTGTCTACCTTGGTCGCCAATGTCGGTTTGCAGGGATGTGTAGCTTTCCTTGACATAGCATGCTACACCCCTGCCCCTTTTGTCTACACAATCTCTCCTGTACAAGGTATAGCCATCTATACCTGTGGCCCAGTCATAGGTGGAGTCCCACCAGGTCTCCATTATCCCTATGAGATCATAGTCATTCTTGTTTAGCAGGAGGACCAGTTCCTCCAGTTTATTCCCCAAGCTCCTGGCATTGGTTACACCAGCTCAGGCAGTCTGGGCCCCTCTCATTGCTTTGTTATACATGTGATGAGTGTATCCACTCTCTGCCAACAATTTTCCTTTTTGAGGAACCATCAATTTTATTTTTTGGTTCAGGTGAGGTAAAGGGTTGAGGTCTATCTAACTCAATGCCTAGTGGATGGCAACCACCAGCGGAGCAACTATTTGTTCTGCTTGATAGCGCTTCTCCATCCTCATCCACTCTTGCCCTGGCCTTCATTATGACTGTTATCATCTTATGGCAGGGGTCTGGTATTCCTGGGTGCCGCAAGCTCCACTTCTTCTATGCCTGATGGGTTGCAACCATTAACGGAGACTGATCTTCTTGTGACAGTCTTGTCACCAAAACCCAGTTTTTCCCCAGCCACTCTCTTTTCCACAGGAGGGTTTCTTTCCTAGCTATTAACATTTCAAGTGATTACAAACGCTATGATGATTTGGCATAATAAAACTCTGGGTACATTTCGAACTAGCACAGAAGATTAAATTAATTGGGATTGCTTTCTTTTGCATGGTCCAAGCCATGATCTTGCATTCTTGTGCAAGATGCACTGTTATTTTTATTTGGTCATTTAGATTTTACATGCAGGTCCAGCCAAGCTTTCACAGTCATCGCAGGCTCCGCTTACCTGTGGGAATGAGACACAGGAGATGTAGCAGCTGGAGGGACAGCAGCACCAGGCAAGCACTGACTCGGCACTCAGTTCCACCCGGGGTCACTCCCAGCCCCAAGGGGAGGAAATGCCCCTTCCCAACACACCTCCCACTGCCGGGTCCCCTGTGCTGCACCAGCTCTGCTCCCGGCACTGCCCAGGCTGCAGCCCCTTCCTGAGACACGCAGGCCCAGAGCCCAGGCTGCCTAGGGCGGAAGACAGACACCCCCGCTCTGCCCCTATCCCCCAGGAGCACAGGGGCTGGCGCAGACCCAGCCATGCAGCATTCCTGGCACTCGGCCCCCTCGGCTGCCCAGCCTGGGGTGACTTGGAGCTCTCAGGGTTGGCTCAGAGAGGGGAGGTGTCTCAGGAGCATCAGGTGGGCATGAACAGCTGCCAGCACAGCTACGAGGCCCTTTGCATTCACCTTGTTCCACAGCGACGGTGACCACGCACCAGCTGGCAGGGCCTGGCCAGGTCACAAGTCTGGTAGCTGCGCCCCCAAGCTGGCTTCTGTCCCTGCCTCTGCCCCTCCCCAAGGGCTTGTACAGAGGGTGGCATTGCCAGGAGCCCTGTGGTCCCACATGCAGCCAGAGCTGCCAGCTCCACAGGTGGGAGGGTGAGACCTGACCCCAGCCCAGGAAACAGCCCTGCCCCAGCCCATGGGAGATGAGACAGGGGCAAGGTAGCCCCCCAGGCCAGGGGTCCACATGCTAAAAACCCACCCACCACCAGGAGCCACCAAGCTCCCAGCCGGGCCAGTACTGGCACCCGGGCACAGAGGGTACAGATGGTGCCAGCACCACAATGGTCCCTCCCTAGCCTGGTTCTTCACCCTTCAAACTCGGGGACCTGAGAGACCTGCAGCAGGACTGTCCTGCCCCGAGGCAGCTTCCTGGGGCCAGCCCACAGCCCCCCGCTTTATCCAACGCCCCAGGCCCCAGTGTCCTTCCCCAGGTCGGTTCCATCATGCTGACACTCACCGGAGCGCTGCAAGGCTTCCTTTCTTCTTCTATGTCGCCACCTCCCAGGGCACAGTGCAGCCCCTCACCCAGGACTGGGGTGCGGGTGGCTCCGGGCATGATGGGCTCTAGATGTAGCCAGCTCTGTGGGGGTACATGGGGAGGTTACTGGTGCCCCTTGCCCTGCCCCCAGCCCCCTCAATGGGGGAGAATAGTCTCATCACCCCCCTGCTCTCATCCCCAGCCCCCTGCCCTCCCAGGGCACCCAGATGTGCAGCCTCCCAGGCCCCTCCATATCCTATAGAGAACCCAGGCATCTGGGCTCTGCTCCACTCCCCCCTCACAGGTGAGCTCCTAAAGTTGTCTGAGGCTGGGGGGCAACAGCTGGATCAGAACAGCTGGGTCTGTACAATCCTTGTTGTATAAGGGGTTTGTTCAACATGGACAAGTGCAAAGTCCTGCACTGAGGATGGGACAATTCCCTGCACCGGGACAGGCTGGGAGCCAACTGGCTGGGCAGCAGCTCTGCAGAACAGGCCCTGAGGAGATGGGACGAGGAGCTGGACAGGAGCCAGCAGTGTGCCCTTGTTGCCAAGAAGGCTAATGGTATCCTGGGCTGCATTGGTAGGAGCGTTGCCAGCAGATGGAGGGCAGTGATTCTTCCCCTCTGTTCGGCACTGGGGAGACCACATCTGGAGTCCTGTGTCCAGTTTTGTGTCCCCCCACTACCACCACAGAAAGGATGTGGACACATTGGACAGAGTCCAAAGGAGGGCAACAAAAATGGTTCAGGAGCTGTGGGACATGACTTGTGAGGAGAGGTGGAGGGAACTGGACTGATTTATTCTGCAGAAGGAAAGACTGAGGGGGGATTTGATAGCAGCTTTTAACTCCCTGGAAGGTGGCTCCAGAGAGGATGGAGCTGGACTGTTCTCAGTGGGGGCAGATGACAGAACAAGGAGCAATGGGCTGAAGCTGCAGCAAGGGAAGTTGAGGTTGGATTTTAGGAAGAATTTTCTCACTAGGAACAGGTTACCAGCCCCACCCTGCAACTCCTATCCTGGGTTCAGGGGAGCCAGGTGGGCACAGGCAAATGCCAGTGCAGCTAGAGGCTCCTTGCACTCACCCTGCCCTGCAGTGATGATGATCAGGCACTGGCCGGCAGGGCCTGGCCAGGTCACGGGACTGATAACTGTGCCCCTGAGCTGGCTCCTGCCCCTGCCTCTGCCCCTCCCCAGGGGCTCGCATGGTGGCTGGCATTGCCAGGAGTCCTGTGGCCCCACACACAGCCAGAGCTGCCAGCTCCACAGGAGGCAGGGCGAGACCTGATGCCAGCCCAGGAAACAGCTTTGCTCCAGCCCATGGGAGACAGGGCAGGGGCAAGGTAGCCCCCCAGGCCAGCATCCACATGCTAAAAACCCACCCACCCCCAGGAGCCACTGAGCTCCCAGCTGGGCCAGCGTTGGCACTCGGGCACGGAGGGTATAGATGACACCAGCACCATGATGGTCCCTCCCTAGGCTAGTTCTTCACCCTTCAAACTTGGGGAGCTGAGAGACTCACAGCAGGACTGTCCTGTCCTGAGGCTGCTTCCTGGGGCCAGCCCACAGCACCCCCTTTACCCACTGCCCCAGGCCCCAGCAGCCCCTCGCCTGGGTCAGGTCCATCACACTGACACTCACCGGAGCACTGCAAGGCTTCTCTCTCCAAGCTGTCCAGACTGAGAGAGAAGGAAGAGGGGGTTAGAGCTCCATGAGTGCAGAGACCCAATGCCCCCCATGCCCCACACCAGCCAATGCTAGCAAGAACATACAGACACCGCTATGACGGGCACCTTTGTGACTCCCCAGACACAAGCGAGACCCAGGGCTCTGCTCAGGCTCCCTGGCACCATCTGGCAGCTGCAAGGAGGCAGCATGGGGCTGGGCAAGGCCGTCTGCTGACGGAGATGCTCTGCAAGGAGCTACACAGCACCAGTAAGGAGTAGAGAGGGGAGGGGGCTTTGCTCTAACCAGGCGCTGCTTTGTATCCCGCTGCCTGACTCCCTGCAGAGAGAAGGCAGAGATCAGCAACTGCTGCTGCTTCCACAAGTGGGGACGGCTCCGACCTGGGGCCACAGCCCAGAAGGAGCTGCCTGCACAGCACAGAGCCGGGGGCTCAGACCAGGATGTGGGGTCAGGACACTGCCACCGGGGAGAAGATGGGGCTGTGGGGCTTGGTCCATGTAGAGCCCAAGAGCAGCCCTCAGGGCCCTCAGCAAGGCAGCCTCGCAGCACTGGTGCTGGGGTCTGGCTGCTGCCGCCCTGGGGGCACATAGACCTGGGAGCCCAGAGCAGCTGGAGAATCCCTCATCCACCAGGTCCCAGGCACAGCGGTGAGGAGCCCTCTCTGCTCCCCCGTGCCAAGGCCTGGGCATGGCCTGACCCCAAGGGCTTCGCCCAGCACTTACTGTGGAAGTATCCAGCTGTGCCCGTCCCAGCAAGGACCAGCACAACACTGATAACAATGCTCACGATCAGCATCCGGTGGGACTCTGGAAGAGGGAAGGATCCTGTGAGCAAGGGGAACCCCCAGACTTGCTCCCAACACTGCAGGGGCCAAGTGTCCCCTCCCCATCAGTGCCCCCTGCATCCCCCGACCCCCCAGTTCCTTCCACGCTCAGCAGGGTCAGTCAGCCCCTCCCTCCCCGAGCACCAGGTTTCTTCTCCTTCCCTGTGCAGGGGTCGCTCACCCGTCCTACTCTTATCCCAGCGGTCCGTCTCTCACCTGTGCCACAGGATGCCCTGGGACAGAGGAGACACCCGTTAGACCAACTGCCCCTAGGGACCCTCAGGACCCCTGCCAGGAGGCTGGGCTGCAAGGTGGATAAGAATCAATGATTTTTTTTTTTACCAGATTTTTCTTATTAAAATTGGATTATTATTTTTTAAAATCATCAATAAAATACTTTCTCTCCCGTTTAAAAAATAACAGTTACAATTAAATCTCATCACAAAGTTGCAACTAAATCTCCTCAGTTACGCCAGTCATAATACATTTCAGGACTGGGGGGGGAACCATTTAAACAGTACATGTTTACTGATGACGTTTTGTCCCAGGGCAAGGACAGGGGCGCCGTGTCCCACAGCAGTGCTTGCGTCTTGCCCAGCAGCAGGACTGAGATGCAGCGCTCACCACCCTGGACACAGGGGGAGGGGGCGGGCATTTCCGGGGGGTACCCTGGTCAGTGCTGCCCTGGGCGGTGACGCCCCTGAGACCTGGGGGCACGAGCTGGAGACCTGTGCGCTGACCCACGGCCAGAGAGAGAACAGCTGTTGCCACCGCTATCAGATGCACGGGGTTTCCCTCCACGCATCAGTCCGGGGGCAAGGGCTGGGCTCCTGCTGCAGGAGCCAGACACCCTGTGGGGGCCACCGTGTAACAGGCTGAGGCACCGATCTGCTAGGCCAGGAAAGCACCACAGCCTTGGTCTCCTGGGCACAGGCCAGGGGATGCCGTTGACACTGGTTGCGCAGAGCTGCAGCCCCAAGCCCCTGGCTGGAGACTGAGCAGGTGTTGGTGCCCCTGCCCGAGGCAATGCAGGGAGGAGCTGGCTGCAGGGACACAGGGACCAGAGGGGAGACAAGGCGACGCCCTCCTGGCTTCCCACCCCATGCTGCTGATGGGCAGGTGCCTCCCCCATGCCCTGAAGGGGAGACGCAGGCCAAGTGCTCCCCACACAGGAAAGATGTGGAGAAGTTGGAGAGAGTCCAGCGGAGGGCAAGGAAAATGGCTGGGGACCCAGGGACAGGACTTGTGAGAAGCTGAGGGAACTGGACTGACTGAGTTAGGGTTAGGACTGAGTCTGGAGAAGAGCAGACTAAGCAGGGATTTGATAGCAGCCTTCAACTCCCTGCAGAGGCTGGAGCTGGGCCGTTCTCAGTGGTGGCAGGACAAGGAGCAACCGGCTCAGGCTGCAGCAAGGGAGGTTGAGGTTGGATATTGATAGAAACTTTCTCCTGAGGAGGGTGGTGAAGCGCTGGAACAGGCTCCCCAGAGAGATGGGGGAGTCTCCATCCTTGGAGGTTTTTAGGGTCCAGCTAGACAAAGCCCCCCCGGCTGGGACGATGTCGTTGGGGCTGGTCCTGCCCGGAGCAGGGGCTGGACTACGTGTGACCTCCCGAGCTCGCTCCCAACCTGAATTTTCAAGGGACAAGGCGGGGGAAGGGCCCCCCGGGAGAGGACGAGACCCTCAGAGTCGCGTTCTCTGGGCGGGACAACACGGCCTGTAGGCTGTAGACAGGAAGCGACGTCTTCCCGGCCACCCTGGAAAAGTTTTTGCAGAGGAAAAAAAAAGTTGTTTTCTGTGTCCCTCCTCCGGCAAAAAGTAGTCCCCTCCAGGCAGTGACGTTTCAGGGCGGGGCCAGCCAATGGGAGCGCGCCGGACCCGCGGAAGCCCTGTTCTCTTTGCACAGGGGCCTTCGCTCCCCTCCCCTTTGCAAAGTAGTCCCGGCTGCATGCAAAGGCGCGGAGAGATCCAGCCCAACCCGGGTGGGGCTTACGTAGCGGCCGTGGCCGCGCCTTGTGCTCCTGGCGGCAGCGTCCCGCCCGCGCCCCTTCTGCCCCCGGCTCGCTCGCCCCGGGCGCCCCCGCCCCCGCCCCCGCCCTGGCTGCAAGGGCTCGCCACCTGCACGGTAGTTATATTTTTCGGGGGAGGTAGCATGGCAAACACGTGCATGGGGGCAATGCATGCTAGCGCGGCCTGTATGGGTAAAAGGGCGGGGGCCACCAGGAGGAAGGGTGGGGGGTCACATTGCAAAACAGGGCACAGGGGCACAGACATGAAATCAGGGGGGCTGTATGTAAAAGCCCCTTTGACCTCACCTAGCTGCCCGCCTGCTCCATGAAGTCCCAAGGGCCGGGAGGGGGTCAGTGACCCTCCTCCTCCCCTCCCACTCCCCACACACACACACACACAAGAGTCAAGTACCAGTGCGTGGGGGCATGTGCCCCCCAGATCTGTGCACAGGATGGGGGCAGGCTGCCCACTGCGGGCTGGGGCTCTGCCCTGCTACCACTGCCTTGGGAGCTGCATGGCCACATGGTGACCCCCCCCAACTATGCACTGGCCCCAGGGCCCCATTCACCCCAGCCCCACTCCCTCCCTCACTGTGGGGACCTTGATCTGCCCCTGCCCCACCCTGCCCTTCCCCTACACAGACTTACCTGCTGGGCCAGGGGCAGGTACTTATTTTGGCTGGGGGGGTGGGGTGTCGCTTAACAATATTTTTCTCCTGACTTGTGTGCTTGCACTGTATATATGTAGAAGGGATTCCATAATAGCTGAAAATGAGGTCAAAACGATGAGTCATTCAAGAACCCAGTGCCCAAAACACATGCACATGAATACCAACACAGCTGTCAGACGTACACATATGGCACATGCACACAGCCTGCACGCGCACACGTGTGCACGTGCAGATGAGGCATCTAGTGTGTGCGTGTGCACACATCCACACACAGTACACCCCAGGTGTCCAGGACATGCACAGAGACGCTGCCCCCAGGGGACACACGTGCACAGACACCAGTAGAACAAAGGCCTGCACCCATTAGGAATAAAGGCAGCCCCATGGTGTGTCAAATAAAAATTAAAAAAAAAAAAGAAAGAAGTCAGGTCTGAAAGTGCACTTTTATGAACCACCAGAAACATTGGTTGTGTGGCAGGGAACAGCACCGTACTTGGACTCCTGGTGGCTCCGGGCAAACGTTTAGTATCAGGCCTCCCTTTGCCAGGCACAATGATAATAATAATCAGACCACAGAAAAAAAAATTACTGCCCTTTCTGTCTGGGGCAGCTGCCAGGTTTGCCCAAGACTGAGGCATGTAATTGCCTTCCCTACAGATCTGAGGACCTAGCAACTAATTTATTTTAACATTTAATTTTTAAAAGCAGCTCCAAAAAAAGCAGCTCAAAAAAGTAGTTCAAGAATGTTGCTGTGTTGAGCCTAGGAAATGGTGAAACCCTTGGATATTGCTCCAGACTTATTTACATACTTTCTGGAGGGTAGGGTTTGGCAGTGTACCAGAGTGTCAAGAAATCCAATTATTTAAGCTTCCAAAACAATAATTTTGTATTTGGCATGTGACAAGGCTGACTGAATTGTTTTAATTTTGTTTTTTTTAAGGACAATTTTTTGTGTTTCCATCAAATCAGCTAAACCAATTCCAAATTCGTGAGTCATTCAAGGTTCCTTGGGTGAATTTGATATCTTTTATTAGACCAACCCAAATAGTTGGAGAATAGTTATTAAGCAAGCTTTCGGGTTCAAAAACCCTTTGTCAGGCTCAGGAAGCTGCAGCAGTCGGTGTGTGCTCCTCCTGGATGGAATGAAAAGTAAAGAAGCCAGGGGCTGGGCTGGGCTGGGCTGGGCTGGGCTAGGCTGGGGAGTCAGTTGCCAGGCAGATTATAATGTATCAAAAATCCATTGTCTATATTAAAGAAACCAGAGGCTGGGCTGGGGAGTCAGATGTCAAAAATCCAATGTGTATGTTTAGTCCATGATCTCTAGTATCCAGGAGGTTGATGAAAAGGAGCTCATAGGCTCGTCTCTGGGAAGTGTGTAAGTTTCCCTTGAGGATCAGGACTGAGAGATTGGAGAGAGGGCGGCCCTCCTGTGAGAAATGTGCCCCCACCGGTAATTGAGTGTTTCTGTCTTTGATAGATTTCCGGTGTGCGTTCATTCTGGTGCGCAGTTGTTGTTTGGTCTCTCCTACATATCTTCCATCAGGGCATTTGGTGCATTGGATGAGGTATATCACATTTCTGGAGGTGCAGCTGTAAGATCCTGGGATGCTGATGGCTCTGTTGTGGGGTGTAGTAATAGTGGGGGGTGGTGGAGATGTGTTGGCAGGGTTTGCATTTCTTGTCATGGCACGGTCTGGATCCTTTTGGTGTGTTCTGGGCTTGAGGAAGTTTGCTTCTGGTGATGAGGTTGGCGAGGTTCGGTGCTTGTTTAAAGGCTAGGATGGGTGGCTCTGTGAAGATCTTTTTAAGAATAGTCATTCAAGAACCACATGTGGTCTTACTTCCAGCAAATATCCTCCACCCCAGCCTAGGGCTTCAGATGCTTCCAAGTCCTTTGGCAGGTGTCCTAATGAATGTGAACCTTAAAGCAGCTGCAGGCAGCCAGACTTTCGATGCCGAAGCCCCCACCCCGGCACAGTTTCATCCTAGGGACACGGACGTGGTGAACAACAGCGGTGACTAGAACTGGGTCCCCAGGACTATGTACACCTGCCAGGTGAGTCCCTGTGGAGTCTTGCTCAGGCCCTAGGGTCTTCTCCATTGCCTTATGGGTCCGTCCCCCCCGACAACCCTGGCATCCGGGCTCCAGCCCCCCACTCTCACCCAGCAGACACAGGCATTGGTGGCAGGGCCACAGTAAGACATAGACAAACTTGGACGAGGGGGTGGAAAGCACACTGTCCAAGTTTGCTGATGACATTAAGATGTGGGGCGAGGTGGACACACTTGAAGGGAGAGAGGGGCTGCAACTAGATTTAGACAGACTACAAAAGTGGGCAGATGAGAATAGGATGGGGTTCAACGTAAACAAATGCAGGGTGCTGCACCTTGGGGGAAGGAATCCACAGCATACATACAGGCTGGGGAGTTCCCCTCTTGAAAGCACAGAGGCGGAAAGGGATCTTGGAGTCATTATTGACTACAAGATGAACATGAGCCGTCAATGCCAGACTGCAGCCAGCCATACCTTGTCATGCATCCAAAGGTGCATCTGAAGCTGGTCCACAGAGGTAATACTCCCCCTCCATGCAACTTTGGTCAGGCCGCAGTTGGAGTACTGCGTCCAGTACTGGGCACTGCACTTCAAAAGGGATGTGGCCAGCCTGGAGAGGGTTCAGAGGAGGGCCACCCGCTTGGTGAGAGGGCAGCAGGGCAGGCCCCACAAGGAGAGAATGAAGGACCTGCCTCAGCAAGAGGAGGCTGAGGGGGGACCTGGTGGCTGCCTACAAGCTCATCAGGGGGGAATCAACAGCAAATAGGCAGAGCCCTTTTCTCCCCAGCACCACCTGGGGTGACGAGGAACAATGGTCATAAGCTGATGGAGAATAGGTTTAGGTTGGAGATCAGAAGGCAATATGTTACAGTTAGGGTGGCCACAATCGGGAACCAACTTCCAGGGAAGTGGTCCTCGCCCCTACCTTGGGCAAATTCAAGAGGAGGTTGGACAATCACCTGTCTGGGGTCTTGTGAACACAGCATTCATTCCTGCCTGTGGCAGGGGGGCAGGCTAGATGATCTGTTCAGGTCCCTCTTGACCCTAGCTACTATGAAACTAGTCACATGCCTAGGGCCCTTAGTGGAGAAGGCCCAGTTGTGCTTATTTTACTTCTTAGAATTATTGAGTAAAACAAAGTGATAAAAAATGTCAACTTTTTGCGCAATTTTGTTTGCCTAGAGCCTGCTAAAAAGTTAATCCAGTCCTGACCAGAAATAACCAGCAAGACTTTGGTTAAAAGCAGACAAGCTCTGCAGACAGGAAATGGGTCACCACAAGCCGGTACCAAAATCCCCTCTCTCTGGATACCAAAATATGCCCCAAATACAGCTGGGGGTGGGGGGAGGAGGCTTCTCCCCTCCCAGGTGTTGGGGAAGGGGGCAGAGAATAGGGACTTGTCCAGGCCTAGCTGTTCTGCTCCAGCTGTTCCCCCCACACACTGCTTGCCTCACTCAGCAGCTCCCTGCACAGGCAGGGGGAGCTTGGATGCCTGGGGTCTCTCCCCAGCTCACCTACCTGGGTTCTGCCCTTGGCTGTGGCTGGAGCCTGGGTGCCTGAACCCCTGGGTTCTCTATAGGGCAGGGGCAGGCAATTATTCCAGGCAGAGGGCTGCTTACCCAGTTTTGGCAAGCTGTCAAGGGCTGAATAGGGAGCCCTGCCCCCTGGTTGCCATCTTGGGACCTGAAGCCCTGCCCCCTAACCCCCAACCTTTGCCCCCTGAAGTACTCCTTTCAAACAGTGGTTTGGCCATCTCAGAACGAGAAAAATGCCAAATTTTATTCTAAAAATCAAACATCTAAAACATCCATTTATTTGATTATAAAAAATTGTTTTGTCCTGATTTACATGTTTGTGTAGTGTGCATAGAGGTGATTGCATATAATAGCTGAAAATGAAGTCTTACTCTTGTAAACTGTGGAGGTGTAGGGGGCATGGGGGTGGGGATAGGTTTGTGGGGGGCTGTGGGTGTGTGGGTATGTGGGGGAGGCTGTGGGTGTGTGAGGGGGGTGGCTAGGGGTGGGGGGGGGATGGGGCGAGGGGGGGTCTGCATGTATGGCAGTGTGAGGGGGAGTGCATGTGTATGGTGGGGAGTGCTTGTGGAACTCACCCTATGAACACACACACACACACACACTGTGCTTGCCTCACTACCTATGTGCACACACAGTATACTTGCCTCGCTAGGCACATGTACACAGTGTACTGACCTCACTAGACACTCACATGCACACACACACTGGTGGCCTTACTAGATGTGTGCACACGTGTGCACTGGTGGCCTCACTAGGCACGCGCACACATACACACAGTGTGCTTGCCTCACTAATGTTGTGGGGGGCAGCAAATAGGGGGCTTGTCTGGGTCCAGCTTCCCCCCCTCCCCCCAAATGACCTTAACAGCTCCACTGGGGAGGAGCCCAGGTACCTGGTTTCTGTTCCCCTTCTCTGGGTGCTTGGGTGCCTGGTGTCCCTCCCCAGCCCTGGGGGCCTGGATGCCTGTGTTCTGTCTGTTCTGGGGTGTTGGGGTAGGGCTGCAGCACCCCTGATCTCCCCCGTGCTGGCAGGAAGGACCTGGGTGCCACAGGCCAGAGTCACCAGACGAAGATGATAGAGATTCTGAAGAAGAAATGTCAGTCGTGTCCAAACCCATGGAAGAAATATGTTGGTAGGTAACGATCTTGGCATTGTGATTCCTGGCCCTGCTTGGTACCCGCCCGCCCCCCCCCCCCCCCCCCCCCCAAGCGCATGGGTTTTGTGGGGTTTAAGGCCCCACCAGAGACTCTGGGTGCTGGCTATAACCTGGGATGGGATGGGGACTGGGCTCTGCCAGTGCTACTGCTGCGACTGGCCCTACACAGTCCTGGCTGAAGGGTCTTGCCCCGCTGCTCAGTCATACCATTGGGGGCAGGCAGGGATTTGCCCTCTGCCCAGCCTGGGGGGTTCCCCTACCTCTGCAGCGGGGATACAGCCTAGGCCTAGGCTCTCGTGTATGATGTCCCCCCCAGCAGCAGGACATGGGGATGTGGCCCCGCTGCTGTCCCCAGGGCAGGGGTGGGGGCAAGGCCTGGGGGTGACAGCAGCTGTAGGAAGGAGTTACAGGATGGAGCGGTCTGGCCTGCATGGGTCTGATCCTGCTGCCTCAGGCAGGGGTTGGGTTGGATATGCCCCTGGGGGCAGGTGCCCAGGAGTGAGGAGAGGTGCTTGTGCTGCATTCGCTGCTGCCTCTTACCACTGCTTCCCCTCCCAGTCTGCCTCCTGGTGCTGGTGCCAGTGATAGCAGTGACAGTGTGGCTTTGTAAGACATCGGGGATGCACGACACAGTCACAGAATAAGACGCTGACACCTTCCTCCAGTTCCTGTAAGCAATGGGGAGGAGCTGGGGGTCTGGACACCTGGGTTCTCTCCCAGCTCTGAGAGGAACAGGGACTGATGGGTAGAGCTGGAAGCCCGGACACCTTGGTTTGAAAGGCTGAGCCCCATTTTACAGCATCACCCCAGAGCCAGCCACATCCCAGCCGGGTTACACCCAGGCCAACGCCCACCCCCAAGTCAGCTGCAGTTCAGCTCCCTGCTGTACCTAGCGCTCAGTGCTGTCTTACCAGCTGGGAGGGGTTTTGCCCCACATGCTGTCTGGTAGGGATGGGGGTGGGTGGTCCACGTCTGCCTGAATGTCCCCCTGTCTCCTGCAGCTTCCAGCTCCTCCAAGTTTGTGGCTACTTCTCCGGTTCCTCCTACAAAGGCCAGCCCCGCAGGGATAGTTGTCTCCAGCCCTATCCTCCTCAGCCACTCTGCATGTGTCACCTTCTGTAAAGAACAAGGTCGGCAACTGATCAGCTTTGACATGAGACAGCTATACAAGGGAAAAGCTGGCAGTGCGACTAGCTCTGGGGTGAAGTGTCATGGCTGGCTGTAACAAGATGCTGAGATACTGCGTCTCAGGTGGGGCACTGGGGCTGGTTGTACAGGGCTGATGCAGCTGGCTTTGGGGTGGGCAGTGGGGCTGGGTATAATAGGGCCCCTGCTGCAGCTGGCTCTGGGGTGGATGTGCAGCACCACGGGCTGTCTCGTTTCTCCCTGCAGGAGCAGTCGGAGCATTACAACAGCGTGTGGGTCCAACCCTCTTCAACTGTGCATGAGCGTGGGTGAGCGTCCTGTCAGGCTCGGTGGTGGGGACCTGGGTGCCAGGACGCACTGGAGACGGGCTGGGAGCAGCTAGCGCAGTTGTGCTATGTGCTGCTGGCTGGGAGCATCTAACAGCATCTCCTCCCCTCTAGGATCTGCTTCTCATCCTCTAGGTAGGAGCTCAAGAAGAGTGGCCTCAGCGTAGTCGGGCCTTGCTATTGCAGGAGATCACCACCACCGCCACTCCCTAGACCCCAGAGGGCTGCTGGGCCTAGCCCAGGTATGGATCGATGGGGAGCTTAGAGCATTTCTGTCACACCCAAGCTGCATCTTTTCTTGTCTTCCCCACTCTGGGCTGGAAACCTGGGTCTTCAGTGCTGTAATTACAGGTGGCCAGGGGAGAAATTCCACTTCCAGCGCACAGCAGAGCAGAGCTAATTTATCTGCGCTATTCATACCGTATTACCTCATATGCGTGAGGTAGAGGATGAAGGCCCCCCTCCCCACCTTCAGGACAACTCTTTCCAACCAGACTGGTGTTATTTATGAGTTCTGCTTGCTTCCTTGGATTTCTCCACCCCCTGCCAGGGGTCTAATGGGGCTCCCAGGAGGTGGCCACACTACACCTTTCCCAGCCCCAAGGGTCACAGAGCTTCAGAGCCAAGAACAACCCTGAAAGGCTTCATCTGTGTGCAGGGACCAAGGTTGGCAAAAGGGGGTCTCTAAGGTATGAGGGGAGTCAATGGCAGCAGGTCTGGTCTGCTCTGGCCTCCCTCTAGGGTCTGTCCTATACACTCCATTTCTATGAAGCACTGGCAAGGGGTGGGGAGTTAACTTAAAAGTGAAGGCATAAACTCATTTTGTAAATCTTTTCCCAGGGGCTATAGCACTAGGAAGACATCTGCCTCCAGCCTTCCCACCATGTGCAGGAACCTGGCAGTGAACAATGTTTTCTCTCACACATGCACAATATTCAATAGCATTAAGGAGGTGGGGTTTGGCCCTGAGCTCTGCTGATCATGTCGTGGGTTGGGAAGGTGGATCTCTGCCTGAATGGAAGCAACCCAGACATGCATGAGATGCATCTCAAGGGATTTTAAGACTCCCCAAATGGATACCAGATCCAGGGTCAGGAAGGAATCCCCCCTGCCCGCCCCCCGCCCCATAGTTAAGCTGGTCTGGAGTCAGGGGGTTTGTCCTCTACAGCAGGGGCATGGCCTTGGCCTGGGGTCTCTCAAGTGTCCGCTACTAACCCTTCACAGCAGCAGGACGTTGGCTGCTGTGGCCCCCCCCGCCCGCCCCGGCCCCCCGCTTTCCCTGAGGCTGAGGTGATGTCTGGTGCTCCATTGTGTTGCTCATAAGTCAGATACGGGTTTACGTGGACTGGTTTGCACAAGGCTGGAGCTGCTTCAGGCAGGGCTTGGACTGGATGTGATCTCAGTGCAAGGGGCGGGGTGGGGTGGCCTTTCCAGCCCCAGTTCTCTATGGCTCTGACTTTTCCCTGGAGGGTCCTTTCCAGCCCCCCTCACTGCACTTCCTGTGCACACTGCGACAATCCCTCTCCCTGTCTCACTCTACCCAAGGGATTCTCCGTTCTTTTGTCCCCACTTTCCTTTTTAAACCAGACTTGTCTTCATGAATATGAAAGGGGATCTCCTGGCCCCTCTCCAGGGCGTTTACCTGACTCCCCGCTGTCTTTACACCTCTGCCAGGGGGTCAAACTGCATATGTGGAAACTGGTGCTGCATCTTCCACCAACTTGAAACAAATACGGAAAAAAATAGTACTTTTTCCTATGTACTTTCGAAGGATGTGTTTACCAAAGATTGATTCATATTTGTTTTTAACATAGCAAAATTAGCAATAACAAGGATGTGTTTTCTTTATGGGTATATTTTTTAACGTTCATCACAAAACTAGCAATATTTTGTTAATGTATAGGGAAAAAATAATGTATTTTCTAGGATTGTTGATGTGGGTTTTTAATTTTCATACCTGTTGACAGATGGTGTTATTTTGTGAAGTTTTCTGGTACTGTAAAGGGAGACATTGTTGGGACAGCAGCCTATGAATGTAATTGGGGGGGGGGAGAGGGGGGACTCATGGTTTTTCAATTGAAAAACAAGCCAAAAAAGAACAAGGCTGTGGGTTTCCTTGCTGTGGGGGGCAACCCTGTCTGGGGAGGATGGGGCTGACCCTGTCTCGGCCGAGGTGGGGCTGCCAGGCAGGGTCAGCCCGTGGCCAGGGGTCCATTCCCCTCCCCCAACCCATATGGGCCTAAGCAGCCTGGGCCTTCCGTTACCATGGAAACCGTAGGAGGGGCTAATTTGGAACCAAATGAATTCTCCTCCGTTTCCCCCTCACCATGCACTCCGACTACCTCCACCCCTTTCCCCGGACGTGGGCGCCGCCATCTTGCCGGTCCTTTTGCGACACCGCGGTACTTCACCGCAGTGAGGGCAAGTACTTCGCGACGCCGCCCCTTTACGGCTCGGCTGGAGGGGTGGGGTTTTACGGCAGTGAAGGGACTGCGGCTGCCGCGCTTGACGGTCAGAGGGGGCCGTTGCGCCTGGTTCCCATGGCAACGCTGATGGCTAGCGTCCTCTCCGTAGCTCCCCAGCATCTTCCCCGTATCCCCCAGCGCTTCCTAGTACCCTCCTGGTATCACCAGTATCCCCCAGGAGGACCCGCACCCTGCACTAACTCACCCCCTCTGCCCTCGCCCCCACAGACACACACAGGACCAGGGCGAGGGGCTCCGGGCATTTATTCCACCACTTTCCTGGCACAGCTGTCCCTGCCACAGGGCAACCGGCTCACTCGTCAGGGCCAACACAGCCTCCCCAGGGCCCACAGCTTCATACAGCCAAGATGCGGCTGGCTCTGGGGGGGGTCAGGCCAGGGCTAAGGCACGGCGCTGGCAGATCCAGCGATACTGTCTGGCAGAGGTCGGGGTAGATGCTCTGCTTGTCCCTGAAGGCGCCGTACTGCTCCTGCGGTGGTCCCGGGGTCATCCTCAGCCTGGGGGGGCAGAAAGAGCAGGTCTGCTCTGGGGGGAGGAGGGTGCTGGGGTCCTGCTGCCCCCCGACAATGCACTGCTCCCATGACTTCAGTTCGCTGCAACCCATCTCTGTGCCTGTACCTGATGCCCCGGGTGCCGGGGTCGCCCACCCAGCTCGTTTCCGGCTGGGCCCTGGATGCGGAGTCCGATCCAGTAGTAGGCTTCATGACGTTTGTGCCTGGCCAGGAAGTCCTAGAGGGCCAGGCACGGGTCAGGGAAGCCGCACGGCCCAGTTCCTCCCCCACCCACGCTCTAATCACCAAGCCCCTATATCCTCCAAGACTGGGGACAGAAGCCAGGGATCCAGGTAGGGAGCAAGGGGAACTGGGGGGGTGGGGGTTCTGCCACAGACACCCCTGAGGAGCCCTGCCCGCCACAAAGCTTGGTGGATGTGTGACCCCAGGCTTCCGGCTGCCACCCCCAGACCCGTGTGCTCCAACTCTGCCCAGGTGTATTTAGCAGTGGACGCCAGGGAAGGGACGCGTAGCCAGGGGATGCGTAGCCAAAGGGACCCACGCATGGTCACACCCCTCGCTCTCAGCCCATCTCTGGCCTTTCTTCAGAGCCATGACCCTGATGTGTGATATTATTTCACATTTTAATTAGTCAATCGACCTTTCTGCTGTTGTACCCACGGAGGCCCCACCCCAGACCCAGTCGCATTCCAAGCCCCATTACACCCAGCCCCTCCCCACAGTCCCATTATACTGAGCTCCCACCCCAGAGCCAGCAGTTTTGATGACATCCTCAGTCTTGATCTTATATAATTTGTTACTAACAGCTTTTAACTGCACCCAGATTAGCTTTGAAACAGGAACCAGGAGGCAGGAATAAGGAATAAAGAACAAACTCCAGCCTCATTTGCCTGCCCCAGCACCCAGCTTGGCCTGGATGCCACAGAGCGGGCAGAGAACCCAGGCATCCAGGCTGCCAGCTGCCCAGCTCCAAACACCCAGCCCCACTTCTGTTCCAAAGTGGGGAGAGACCCCAGGTATCCAGGTCAGAAGTGAGGGGCACTGGCTAAGCAGGGGGGGGTGGGGGCCGCAGTTTGGGAGTGAGGAGCACCCAGGTGACAAGGAGACTACAGGTCAGGAGTGAGGGACACCAGCCAGCTGGGGGTCTGGGGGCTTCTACCTGCCCTGTGCCTGCGCAGCCACTGGAGGGACCCCAAGGCATCCAGCTCCTCCATGGGGCAAGAGCACTGTGTGCAGGCAGGAAGCACTCAGGTGGGTGGGGAAAGGGCTAGTGGTTACAGCGCAGGTGGGGAAAGCTGGGGGCCCTGGTGCCTGGGTTCTCTCGGAGGGGAGAGGCTGGGGGGGCTTTGAGCCTACCCTGATACCCTCCCCCCATCAATGGAGCACCAGATCCATACGGCTGAAAGTACCCTGCAGTCCTGCCAGTGCCCTCACTTCCGACCTGCAGCACCCTGTCTGTAGCGGGGGCCCAATACTGGGGCACTGGTCCCCATTCTGAGGGATGCAGGGTTTGCCCCCCTCAGACACACACATCTCAGCTGGCAGCTTCAAGGGGGGGCATCCAGCTGGTGGCAGATGTTGGCTCATGCACCAACTGGCTCTATCTTGGGTGTGCTGGGGAGTTCTGGGGCTCAGCTGCACCTGGAAGGAAAAGCAATTTGGGGAGGGGGGCAGTCAGAGCTGGTTGTGCAGCAGGGGCATGGCCTGGGCCTGGGCTCTCTGCAGAGTCTCCGGCCCCCAGCAGCAGCACAACATAGTGGCCACAGTCCTACAGGGGTGCTGGCAGCTGTAGGAAGCGGTTAGGGGATGGGGGTGTCTGGGCTGCACAGGGCTGATCCTGCTGCCTCAGGCAGGGTGGGGGTGGCTGGACTTGCCCCTGGGGGCCCTTACAGACCCCGGCTTGAGGAACCCAGGTGTCCAGGAATGGGGAGAGAGATGTTTGTGCTGCACTCGCTGACTCCTCTTACCCCTGCTCTACCCCAGTTCAATTCAGGGACACTGGCCATAATGGGGCTGTTTGCACTGATGACGAACCACACCATGATGCTGCCTCCGGCCATAACGCGTAAGCAAGAAGTGGGGGACAGCAGAGGGCCCAGACCCCTCAGTTCGAGGGGGCGACCCTGTTGTACCCAGCACCACCTGCAGCTCAGCCCCCAGTGCTCTCCTACCGCCTGCAATAGGTCTCATCCTGCGTGCTGTCTGGGGGTCCTGGAACATCTACATCTGCCCGAATGTCCCCCCATCTCTTGTAGCTCCTCCTGCACTGGCTACTCCTGCATGCCCCTCCAAGGCGGTGGCCCCATCTCCTTCAGTCCTTGGCCTCAGCCTGCTGCTGCTCCGTGCTCTTGGTGCTGCTGCCCAGCTCTGATGGTGCAGGTAGAGATACGAAGGCGAAGCGGACAGTGCTGCTGGCTCTGGGGTGCAGTGTCATGGCTGGGCGTAACGAGGGGCTGAGACTGCGCCACATCTGGGGCTGGCTGTGTGTCCCATGGAGTCCCCAAAGGCATCTCCCCTCTCTCAAGCCCGAGCCGAGCTGCACAGGGAGCCAGGATGAAGCCAAGCTGCTGCCCTCACCCCGCGGAAACACTGCGCCAGGGAGGCCGGGGGGGGGCTCAGTGCCAGCTGCATCCTGGGGTGCCCCCAACCCACAGTTGCCACTGCCATCTGCCCACCCACCCACCCTGAAGACCCTTCTACATCTACAGATGCTTCCACACTTCTTTTTTCACTTGGTTTTCAATTAAAAACAAACCCAGAAAAAAAGAGGCTGTGGGTTTCCCTAAAGGGATCCTACCCCCCAGACCCCTGCTTTCCCCAGGCGTCCGGGCCTCCAGCCCGAGCCCAGATACAGCCCAGGCGTCCGGACAGGGCCAGGCCATGACCCGCCATGGGCCGAGGCAGTCTGGGCCTGCAGAGCCCCCCGCTACCATGGAAACCCTAATTGGGACGGAGAGAGGAACTCACCCCTGACTCGTTTTGTTTCCCTTGACCTTTCACACTGACCCCTGGCCTGGCTATTCGCACTACACTCTGACCCACACCCTGAGCGCCGTCCCTGACCCTTCACAGTCACCCTGCCCCGCCTCCAGCCCCGCACACCCCCGCGACCTGCTCGCCACCATCTTGGTTACAGCAACTTCTGGCGGGGCCCCGTGCTTCCGGCCCCCGGCGCCGGAAGTCGCCGATCGGGAGGGG